AGTTTGTGTTGTTTCTTGCTGTGCACCATTTAGCATCCTTTTTGTGTGCAACCCCTTTTTTTTCTTTGTTAGCCCACGTAAAACATGGTGTCCCCTGCGGAAATACTCCCACATCTTTGCAAGGCTTCCCAAACCTTGGTGTTAATGAGATGATTGATTTTTTGTTTATTTGTGCCTTTTTGGTTACTTTTTCATTTTCCTGTAGTATTTTTCATGAAGCGGACAGGGATCAGCCAACTTACTGTACATGCAAAGATAAACTGTATGAAGACCAAACTGGTTCCACTTTTTGATTTTCTGTAATGGATTACTTTTGAATATCTCTATATATTGATATATAAAATCTGACTGAAAATTTCCCTCATGTGTGCTGTTTCATTTTCTTCTACAAAATATCAAATATCACTCATATCACAGTCCTACGGCTCAGAGACACTACTGCTGTGTCATTGAAGATCTGCAAATTAGCACATTTCATTTTTCGGTGCTTTTCAAACAGTTGTTTTAATTAAAGCAGCACTTGTCTTTTTATGTTAACAATGGATCAATGACTGTGTTTAATGTGAATAGTTTTGTTCATACTGACAAACTCACTCAGTGCTACACAGCTTTAAGCCTGTTTCAGCTCATTGTTTTTGGCCCACAAATTTACTGTTTAGCTCTCACCAAAACTCCATTTGTGAAGAAGCTAGATGTGAACCAAATGTAAGCACCCTGCCCCGAACCAAAGGGCAGACAGACAACATTAGCAAGGAGCTAGTGCACATAGATGAGTATTTAGAAGCTAAAGAAAAGGATATAACCCCCAGGATTTGGTCAAGACCAAAAAACAAGCTAAAAGTTTTCGAGAATACTGGACTTACGTACAGTCTGTCACCCCAGTTGAATGTTAATGTTCATATTTCTGCGTGTCTACTGGATTCGTAAATAGGCACTTGTTTGCCAACACTTAAGCTTTACCAGCCATTGTTTTTAAATGTCAAATATTGATTGATTTTTGGCTTGTTGTGGAACGCTGTCCCCAAATGGTGAAAAAAGCCTCATGAATGCAGCGTTGAAGACAAGATCACCTTAAAAAAAAATTTCGTATTCTTAATGACACTTTCTATGTCAATTACTCACCCTGTGTTATGTTGAATTCGTGAAGAAAACTTTGTATTCTGGCATGCCTCCACGTTGAACAAAGAATCCAAAAATGTAAAAAAGTCCAAAAGTCACAGAGGGCTGTGTTTAACAACTGTAAAACTGTATCAAAACATCTGTTTACAAACCCTTATACAACTCTTACAGTGTAATCCAGGTCACATTTATGCAGTCGTGTGCTCAGTACTTCTGAACATATACATTTTTGCTAAAGCCTTAGTTCTTGAAGCACCTACGCATAAACTGTGCAGGCACGCTATCTATCTGTGCGTGAGGCTGTGGAAAATCTGTTTAAGTGTACACTATATTTAGAATATTCTCTGCTTCTTTATATATATTCCTTATATTGCCAATCAGACAGCCCTTTCCGATGGGAAACATAAGTGAAAGTTACCTGTGCTCCTTTCGAATGTAAGAAGTAATAAAAGTAATAAGACAGAAGCTTCTGCTCTACCACTTTGGTTTGTTGGGTGTTTTAAAGGGTCACTTGAGATTTACTGAAGTCACACTGTAGGACCCAGAATATGTATGTAGCCTCTGTTGTTTAGTATTTGTTTAGGCTGCACACGTTCTAAACAAATAATTGTGCAATTGGATTCACATTATTTTACCTGTTCATTCACTGGAGTGGCGGCTTTTTAGGTAAAGATGGTGAGTTTTTGGCTCTGATATTTTCACAGTTATGAGCCTACTCAGCCTCTTAGCAGCTTTTGTCATTGAAGTCGCTACACACACAGTAACACAAACAAACTAATTATTGAGGCAGTGGTAAAAACGCAAATCCTGTGTTCAGCGAGGTAAAATTACTGTTTTTATCAATGGAGTGTGGTGGCTTTGAAGACAACAATTTAATGGCTTTATTTCCCAGTTTGTAAAGGCTGTATGACAATAAGATACAGCAGTGAAAATATTCTTAAAATAGGGTACACTAAAACTGATATTGATTTATTTTTAGGTGGCTAAAATATGTTTTGTACCATCTCACACACGGACAAGTAGTGCGCCCGCGCCATATACGCAGAAGTGTTTTAATTAACAAGGTTTTAGAAAAAGTCATAGGTTTGAGAAGTACTGAGTGTATGATTGAATACATGAGACTTGGATTATACTGAATGAGTTGTGTGAGAGTTGGCAAACTTATAGTTTTACTGTGGTTAAATGCAGCCCCCTATGACTTCAATTCATTGAGAATTTTCAACGTTTTTGGATTCTTCGTTCACCTTGAAGGCATGCGAGAAAAACTACGTTTTCCTCATGAATTCAACATACCTTGGGGTTAGTAACTGATACATAAATGATCATTTTTGGAGTGGAGTATTCCTTTAAGACAACAAGCATGTCTCCTGATAAGGTATAGTGTCTTTAGTGCTAACATGCAGCACAGGTAAAGCCAGTAAACTGACTGAATATCAGTAACAGCAATATCTACCTCTAAGTTTGATAACAACAGCTGCTAACTGGCCCAGTGTGGTTGTTGTAGAGAAAATCCCCTGCATGTATCATATTAAGCAAGGTCTGCTTTACTGCTTATGAATTCAGGTTTTTCTTTTCACGTTAAAGTAGATAAGAAGCTACTCTCACGGAATGTTTAGTGTCCATTCTGACTGAGCCGCTTTTCACATCCATCCACTTACAAAGTGATTCATCAGCAGATAGAAAAGCAGTCGTAGATAAATCCAGTCCATTATCGTTATTAAACTGAAGCAGGGCAAATGCCTTCAAACTCTTCCTTTTTGTACCACTAGCCATTAGGATATTGTGTAATAAGTATTTTTTATTAGTCCAGCAGATCCTGCAGCAGACATGTAGACGTCACAGATGTTTATTGCTGCGCAGACGCTGAGATGAAAACCTTAACTCACTGTGGCGTGACGGCCAGTTTGGGTGGGGGATGGTGCATTTATACCTATACATCTGTGGCCTATAAATACATATGAATACATTTTGTTAAAATGCTGTAATCCTGTAGTTCATCTATAAACATGGGACATCCATTCAGGGAATACTGATTTCCATACTTGACTCACTTTATTGTGTTTGTCTGCTTATATTCATATATATGATAGAGAAGCAGCTGATTCCATCCCCGTCTATCCATCTCTCTCTTTCTGGGGATATATATTTGCTCAGGGTCATTACAGCACCAGGACAGCCAGTCAGCCAGGCTGGAAAAAAATCCTCAGGGGAAATGAGGTGGCTTCGCTCTGTCAGACAGAAATCCAGCCTCTTCCCTGTCCCCACACTCAATCCTTTTTGTCTTATCTCACCAACATAATCTCAAGTCCTGGCAGGAAAACTAAACCTCTGTCCCTTACTGTTTCCCAGAGGGTTAGAGGAACAAAGGCCCCTCAAACACATCTGCTTTCACGCCTGACTGAGGCCATACCAGCTGCCATACAGTCAGACTGCAGGTGAATCTCATTGTGTCCTCTCTCACAGTGGAATTAGTACAATTCGGTGGGTGTCATGTTTATAATTGTCTGTCACACTTGAAAGGGATTAGATCTAATCCCTTGGATATGCTCATTTTAGAATTCCAGATTTATGTGTATTGTTGCTTTCTGTATGTGTGTGTTATTGTGTTTTGGTTTGGGTGGCTGGAGTGAAATGGAGGAGCTGTGCCACCTGCTGGTTAGGTTTGTCACTACAGCTGCAAAGCTGACGAATGAGTTCCTAATGCAGCTTGACAGCTCAACCACCAGATTTAAAGGCATGTTTGCCTCTTTGAAACGACACAGTGGCTCCAGTTTTCGGTCATTGTATTAAAAACAGGCAATTTATACATCAGTATAGCAATTACTAGTGAGTGAAATCAACAGGTTGGTTTATTGGCACCAAAAATGTCTTTATTTCATGTGCTTGGCATGCAGCATGTATTTTTTTTCTTTATATATTTTACACACATTTTATTTAAAAAGTGCTGCAAGAATTCAAATAGCAATCTGTCATTTTCAAAAAAAACATAAAACAACACCTTTGGATCATTGTCAACATATTCATGTGACCAATGCAATAAACAAAATAAATATTTTAATTGCATAGTTTGCAAAGCTAAGCTTCTAGTGCCCCAGCAATGAGTCTTAAAACCCAGAAATGAGTTAGCAGGTTTGCACTCCAGGTTCCCTCGTCTTAATGTCGATGGGTTTTTCAAATGGGTTTTTGGTTAGATGCCTAAAATAAGGTCTGTGGTTAACACAAGGTTAAGAGACTTTCACGTTTTGTTTTAGGACATAAAATACATCAGCAAATACTTATATACTACTTATAGCATCTATGTGTCTTAGGGTTCTTTCAGACCTAGAGTTGTCTCGCTTTGGTATGAATCGGGCTAATTATGTTACAAAGTTGCATAATTGCCTAGAGTTGGTTCGTGTTCTCACGACAGCATTTACAAGCGGACCAGATCAAATGCCTTGTGTGAGAAAGCTGCTCTTGATTGGTCAGAATTTCCATGCAGAAAAAGTCCAGGAAGTTGAAGAAGTGTACTCTTCTTCAAAACGTTGAAGAAGAGTACACTTGCAAGATAAATGTAATTCTTTCTAATGTCACAATGGAGGGACAACTACGCAGGTTGATTTTAGCTGCTCATCGTGGACTATATTGCTGTCATTGTTCATTTTAGTCAAACCATACAGTTTGAAAATGAGGCGCGGCTCCAACTAGAAAACAATGTCTTGATGCATTGGATGTGCTGAATGTGCATATTAAGGCAGTACAGGAGGAGGTGCACATTAATAATCCTCCAGGACTGTAACATGCTCATGTTTAACCCAAACAATGTGTCATGTGACTGCAGTTGGTTCAGATCCAGGTCGGAACACGTTCTCACTACAAACGAACCGCACCAGAGTTCGTTTGTAACCAGACCGAGACCACCTCTTCAAGAAGGTCTTGGTCCGGTTGTTTTGGTGCGCACCTGAGTGTGATTGCTGTGTTCACACCTGCCCAAACATACTTTACTTAGGGGACAAATGAATTTGAGCTCGACTAAACCGAACCAAACAGAGCAGGTGTGAAAGCACCCTTAGAAACAGCGGTTGCTAACAAGTGGCTAATTAAGACTACAGAACATCATCACTCCAAGACGTGCTGAACATGGTTTTACAGTCTTGTTATGTTGGTGACGTTAGGTCATGTGACCGCACTATAGTTCGTTTGTAGCTCACTGTAGGTCTGGCGATTGCATTTAGGCTCCAATAATCATGAAAGTGGTGTTCAATTATCTTGCTGAACAAAACTTGTAAGAATTATAAACCTTTGTTTGTCACAGATCTTATTTTTGGCAATCCAAAATCCAATGGAAAAATCCCATAGGCTTTTTGATGAGGGAACCAATGCAATGCTAAGCTAACGTCATCCCTGGAGCACTCTATTTGAATGTGCAAAGATCAGACATAACTATGACGTCTTCACATCAACAGTAAAGACAGTTATTGTATACTGCTCCAGCAATCATGACAAACACATCTAAGCTTTACCTCACTCGTCAGTGAGTCTTGTTGCAACGATCTAATCCCATCCAGAACTCAAGCTAATGCTCGTGCAGATGTACAGGATTTAAAAACAATATGGCAGCAACAGCTCAACCAAAGCAGACAGCGTCAGCTTTAAACCTGGTGTCAGGTTTTTCTTCAGATAGAAAAGAGCAGATGTGAGAGGATCATATGTCTGCAGATTCTTTTCCAGTTTTCCAGCACTACAAAGCTCGGGCTTTAGCGTGAGCCTGCAGGAGGGCGGCTGTATCAGTGTGGGAACCTTGCATGGCGATCGAGAGAGCAGTTTGACCGTGCTGTGGAAAGAAAAGAAAGAAAAACGAAAGACAGAGATCTTTAAATTCTCCACTCATATTAAGTTATACACAGTAGACACTTAAAAGTACCCATTTTTATGTTTTTATGCAGAGGCTAACATGCTTAAAGTGTTGTTCATGGTAAACATACCTGCTAAACACTAGCATGTTAGCGTCATTGTCATGATGACATTACCCAGCTGTCACCAGACGTCGGACTCTTACGTCAAACAGACGTTATATCTGTTAGAATTTCATGTTGTGAGGACGTTAACTTTATAATGTTAGCAGGCATTGGGTTTTGACCTTTGGACATTACAACTAAATGTTGTTATTCTACGCCAAGATCATGTTGGTTTGGGACATTTGGAAGATATTGGATTTTGGTCATTCAAGAACACAACTTAAAACCAACGCAATTTCAACACCATCAGTCATCATCTTTCTATGTCAAATTGACGTTGGCATTAGACGTTGTGACATTTTGGTCACCAGACATCACAATCAAAATTCAACCAAATATGAACTCTAACGACGTTGATAGCCAGCTACAAAGTACCGTACAGCCTCAGAGAGGTGCCAGCATGAACACAAAATTAGGCCCAATCCCAATCTCATTTCTTATTTTTACCCCTGCCCCTCATTTTCAAGTGAACAATGCCCCTCAGAACAGAGGTACAAGGGGCAGTGGTTACAATCTTCTTCTATGAAATGGGACGACGTTTCAAGACCCTGACACAAAATCAGTAAGCGTTGATGGTGTTTACAGAAGCAGATGCAACTATGCCAGTAATTATCTTTATAATAGTGTGTCTGATGAAGATAGAAATAGCATGGGCACTCCACGCTATCAGTTCAAACAAGTCATCAAACAAAAAGGCCATTATCAGGCCACTAGCGGTGTCTGCACTGTCTGCACTGCTCTGCTGGACTTAAGTTAAATTTAAATAGTGACATGGAAATATATCAAAAAAGCGGGACTGTCCTGCACAAATTATTAATAACAATGGAACATTACCTAACTCAATAGTTAGCTTGATTACTGAATTTCTTGTTGCTTGTGCAGCCATCTTGCTGATGCTCTCTCATAACACTCAGGTTAGCTCTAACACTTTATCCTAACACTCTATACCAGCACCTTATGTTTTGCATGTTCACGTCCAGGGGTAGGGAGTGGGATAGAGTAGTAGGGCGAAGTGTTAGGGCTACATGGCACTCCAATCAGAGTGTTATGACCAGCAAGATGGCTGTACGAGGAACAGAAAAACCACAACTGTGTTTTATTCGTAAATAAAGATTTAAAAAATTATAAAAAAAACGTTGCATTATCTTAGTTTAATGTCATTTCAATGTAATATGGTCCTTTTCTTTTTCACAAGCATGCCAAAAAAAACACTAGGAGTATGCTGATGTCTTGGTTGTTAACTACCTAGCTACATAATGTTACATTGTTATTACTGATTTGTGCATGACAGTCCTGTATTTTGACATATTTCCATGTCACTTTTTCCCCTTATGATGGCATATGACGCCCGAAATGTAACTAAAGTTCGGCAGAGAAAATGCTGCACTTGTTAACACACATCTAATACCAGTGCAGACTGGCAGGGTAGGAGCACGGGCTGCTAACGTTAGCCTACAGAACACCAGTAGTGGCCTGATAATGAAGCAACGTTCTTTTTTATTTGATGACTTGTTTCGATTGATAGCGTGAAACTTACGTTGGAAAAAAAAATCGCAACCATGCCAACAACTGCAAAAAGCTGCCTGTAGCCCATGTAAGAGAAGTCACTACTGCAGAAGACAGCATATATGCAATGTCAGGCAAGAGTCGTTGCATCTGCCGAAATGCCATCGACACTTACTGATGACATATCAGGATCTTGAAGGGTTGTCCAATTTTATAGAAGTTTTTCAACTGCTACCCCTTATAACTCTGCTCTGAGGTAAAAATATAAAATGGGACTGGGCCTTGGTCTTGTTTACATCAAGTTAGTTTCATCAAGATGCAAAATTAAGGCTCCCAGAAGACAAATTAAATAACAACACTCTCTGCAAGGTTGCCTTTTTGGTCTTTAATATAAATTGGTTACGATTTAATTTAATCAAAACTAAATTAGTCTAATTAATTGGGTTTGTGTCAAGGTGAAACATGGTTTAGGACGCCTGTGGTTGATGGTCTTTTTTTCTCTCTTGAAAACTCTACTTAAAATGCAGACTGTGTCAAAAGTGGAAGATACATTTGCATCCCATCCTCTCTGCTCTCTTCCCTGCCTTCACTCACTCCAGACTGGCAGATAAGGTACTGTTAGCGAATTAGCTCATCTCAGCCCAGGGAGATTTGTCTTACTGTAGCCCTGATTAATCCTGGGAAAGCTCCATTCCGCTGCATCCAGACCGTCAGTCCACCCACATCCACACAGTGTGAGTCAAAACATTTGAGCTTTCATACATCTAAGCTCCTTTTTGTGCTCAGTTATGTGAATAGAAAAGTAGATATGGCGTTTTGTTAAGAAATATAACAGGATTTCACAAGAGAAATGGAGTTAGAGTCATCGTATGAACTCTATATTTCTGACATTTAGTTTGAAGTGGGTGCTACCTGTAGATTTTTTCTTTTTGAGGGGGCATTTCTTGTCCAGTTAACAATTTTTTCTTTAGTATTATGACCAGAAACAATATCACAGACAACCTGCATCTCACACTAGTGGCACTTAAAATGAAGACACACTTCTTATTGTTTCTTTGTCAGAGGGTAAGAGGATTTTATTGGACGTAAACTGTCTATGGGTTTTCTGCAGTATCACCTTATCAGTCAGGGTGAGGTCACACTGGCTCCTCTCCAGCAGCAGCCTTGCAATGTGTGTGTGGCCCCTCTCAGATGCGAACATCAGGGCCGTGGTTCCCTGGTTGTCCTGGATGTTTGTGTCGGCGCCACAGCTCAGCAGCAGGCGAACCATCACAACTCGCCCGTGCCTCACTGCCAAGTGCAGAGCTGTTTGGCCCGTCTGTGAAGAGGGACAGAGACAGAAAATGAACAGAGATTAGTTATCATCATTAGAGATAAAAACCCACTGTATTTATCTGTAGGCTACTGCTTTGCCCCTTATTTAGATACTGTTCATCTGAGATGTCAGAGTTCAACTCATTTTGTCTTTTGAAGTGTCCTGCTAAAGGACGCTAATGATTTAGTATTGCGCTTTAATCAAATCTGGGAAATAACAAGAGACTTTTTTTTTTTTAAGAATGGACAAAGTTGAAGCAGCAGAGCGGAAATATCCTGATTTTTTGTCCCTAGTGTTTGCCTGGCGTTGTCACACCATTTTGCAAATGCGAATTAGTCTGGAACCTCTCAGTTCATTATCAGTTCAAGCGCTGCTGATCAAAATGCCTCAGGATGCAAATGGACAGAGCTACAACCAATCAGGGCAACCAAATGTGACTTGGCACTGAGCCACAGACAAATGTAAACAGATTACAGCCTGCGGAGATGAGCTGCAATGGTGTGGCATCAATATGTCTTTGAACGAGTGAACTCAACAATAGCGCTTCAACTTAAAGTTCCACATCAGTTATAGTCAGCACTTCCAAATCAGAGGCCATGGTTCTCTGCATTGCCCCGTCCGGGTTGGGAGAGAGTTACTGCCTCAAGCGAGGGAGTTCAAGTATCTCAGGGTCTTGTTTACGAATGAGGGTAGAATGGAGCGTGAGATGGATCTGCAGTTTGGTGCAGCATCTGTTGGAAGCCGGAAGGCAAAGCTTTCGATTGACTGGTCCATCTACGTCCCAACCCTCACCTGTGGTCATGAGCTCGGGGTAGTGACTGAAAGAATGCGATTGCGAATACAAGCAGCTGAAATGAGTTTCCTCTGTGGGGTGGCTGGACTCAGCCTTAGAGATAGGGTAAGGAGCTTGGACATCCGGAGGGAGTTTGGAGTAGAAGCGTTGCTTCTTTGCATCAAAAGGGGTCAGGTGAGGTGGTTCGGGCATCTAATCAGGATGCTTCCTGGCACCTCCTGTTTGAGGTGTTCCAGGCATGTCCCACTGGTAGCAAGCCCCGGGGCAGACCCAGAACATGCTGGAGGGATTACATATCTTGTCTGGCCTGGGAACACCTTGGGGTCCCCCAGGAGGAGCTGGAAAGCGTTGCTGAGGAGAGGGACGTCTGGGGTGCTTTGCTTTGCCTATTGTCCTGGCGACCCAGCCCCAGGTAGGCACATGAAAATGGATGGATGGACATGGACAAGTGTTGACATTTTTGCCATTAGAATAAAAGTGCTTCAACATAAAGTTACACATCAGTTATAGTCAACACATATTTTGTGTCATGCATGAGAGCTCTGCAATTTGTCATCATGACTGTAATCTGTTGTAGTCAGCTCACTTCCTTATTAACTGACTTGCAGCAAGTCATTAACTCACTGAGGTGAGGTTTTTGCAGGAATGACCAAATGAGTAGTGAGGTAGTATGAAGCATGGACAGGCGTCTTTTATGCACCATCTCTGTTTTGACTCTGATTATAGGCCCAGGCTACATGATGAGCATCAACAAAAGAAAGACAAAAGGTAAACGCCAGCTTAGTGTGTACAGTAGGCCAAAACTGAGGTCTTAAACGGACTGACATGTGGTGACACCTTAACAACTCACAACAGTCACCATAGTCAAATGACCATGGAAAACAGTTTAATGTTCATTGTACTCTTATTATATTTCTTTGAATCCTCCATTAGAAAACTGGAAAACAGCCCTCACAGAGGACTGGGAGTCAAATGAGTCCACCAGAGTCCACTCATCTAAAAAACCCACTGCATTAATTACCCATGTTTACACATTTAAGCTGTGTTTGCATTGGACGTGTTACCTGGCTGGAGCGAATGTTAATGTTGCCCAGCTCCATTAGCTTGCGGACCACCTCCATGCCACCTGGACCATCAGGTGCTGTCAGTGAGGCCAGCATCACGGCTGTGTAGCCGGCGTTGTTCTGAAAGTTCGCATCACTCACACCTGTAAAAACAAAGAAAAGTGTTTTTCTTTCAGTATTTACAAGTCAGCTGTTCCAATGTAAAAGAGCTGTGTCAACACATTAATATTACCTGTGTCCAGTAACAGGCTGACGATGCCGTAGTTGCAGTGGGACACGCTGTAATGCAGCACTGTGTTGCCATTATCGTCAGCCAGGTTGATCAAGAAGGCCAGCAGTGGGGGCGTGGTCTTCTTCACCTCTCTCAGGTACATAGCCACCCTGCTGGCCTCTGAAGTCTCCTCTGCTGCTGCAGTGAACCAGTGCTGAAACAACACGATCAGGGCCTTCCTCTGGAAAAGACAGAAACATATTGTGATAGAATTTTCATAGGGATTCAACCAACACAGTGCATACCACATGGAATACCAGTAATCATCTTTCATTTAACAGACTTTATAGCGGTAATAATTTGTTTCTAAAGACAACATTGTCATATTGTCATTCATGAAATATTCAGGAGACTCAGAGCAACATCAGTATGAATTTAGAGTAGTGTTTCTGTCCACCAGACCAGTCAAATCTAATTCCAGTATTCACTCTCTGTAAAGGGCACCTGGGGCCGGTTGCACAAAACATCTTAAGTTAAGATTTCACTTAAAGTCCTAGTTAAGATTTCCTCAAAATAAAATTGATAGCACAAAACACCCTTAAATCTTCTCCTAAAGGTTTTCACTTAAAGTATTCACCTAAGTATTTCTGGTTTTCTCCTTGTCTTGGTCTTATACTTAAGGAATACCTAGACTGTTGCACAAAAGACCTTTGCGACCAAAGCCCGGTAAGAAAAAAAAAACAAAAAAAAAAAACCTCTGACTGTCTTTTAACTACAACATGACCAAGTTCATGGTGATAAATGAAAAAAAAACACATCCTAAGAAAGTTCTCTGCGACCAGGAGAACCCGATGGATATGCTTTCAATTTTACACTTTAGATTTGACTGAATTCATTTTCATTGTTTCTTCCTGTAATCATTTTCTGTTTTCTGGTATTTGGGATCAAATTTACTTTGTAGTTTGTGCCTATTATGATTGTATTCCTCCAGAAGTTCTCCTCCTCTGACCAATATAGTTTTCTTGTCTTCTTTTCTTCTGCCATTTTTTCACTACCTAACTATAAGCCAACCTTTTGAGTCCAAGCAAACGATCTCTATGGAAACAAAGGAAACATCTTAAGGGATTCTGTGCGACTGTGTAAGTCCCTAAGCTAAAGAGAAATTAAGCCTTAAGTGTCATACTTAAGGAGAAAACGTAAGGTGTTTTGTGCAACTGGTCACAGATATTCTTTTCCTTATTATCTGTCACATAATGTTACAGTGTTGGATGTTCATATTAAATGTGGCCAAAGTTTCAAATAATGAGATAAACATACATAAAAGCAATACCTGTGTGCAAAACAACTCTGGCTTCAGACCATTCTGAATATTATGTTTCCAACAGATTTTTCTACTTTTGAGACAAAATGAGAGGCAGCTGATCTTTTTTCTTCACTGCATTTCTTTTACTACATGTAGCTTGATACTAATGTCAGGGAAACATGTAAACTCTGTTGCAGATGTTGTAAATATCTCTCCGATTTGAGATTATATTCTGCTTTTATTGGTGATTTTAAGGGGACAAAGTGCGTTATACACAGTCACTTCCCGGCTGCCATGACACTGCTACATGTAGCCACATGCTAACGTCAGGAAACAGGATCTTGTTTGTTGGTGTTGTTGATTTCTCTCAGATTTCATGGCTGATTTATTGGAGCTTTCTACTTAAAACAAGCTGATGAGAGCTGTGAGAGTGAATCAAAACAGTTAAGTTGCAGGGCATTAAACAAAGACAGTGAGCTGAAAGATGCTAAAATGCTCCATAGAGCGGAGAGGAACTGCAGAGCTCAGTGATTATTATTTGTGGATTTATCCACGAGCAACATCATTCAAATTTTATCTACATTTTTTTAAAGCAGCTTTAAGATCATACAAAGTATAGGTAGTTAAGAGATTTTTGTCCATCACCTTAAGGACCCTGACACACCAAGCCGACAGTCGGCCATTGGTTATTGTTGGGCCACTAGTGAGTGTCTGTCGCTCTAGTTTTTGTGGTGTGTCCCACACTGTTGGCACTAGTCGACCCATGTTGGCTTTTTTTCAGCTGATTCACAATGGTGAGTCTGAGTTGGAGACAGTGCAACCCGTTGGTGAATGAAATCACTCTGATTGGCTTTTCAGCTCAGTGCAGAAGAGAATGGCATGGTAAAAATCCTTTGTTCTTTGGAGCATCGGGTTGTGTTGTTAATGTGCTAACTGGCTAATTAGCATCTTGAATCCTTCCTGTTGGTCTTCCAGTTTCCCTTTTTGAATGATGCATACAGCCTACCGCCACCTGCTGGTGTTGAGAGTTATTTCCTCCTATACAGGCATGCTAGTTGGCCGTCGGCTGAAGTCTTTTTTGGTGTGTTCAGATACAACTTTTTGGCCAAAACACGTGTGATGTGCAAGTCTAGTTTGGTTTGGTTTGTCTGAGCCTTAAGATGTACAAACTTCATTACTGTAAATCACTTCAATATTGAATGAATACGTTTTCTTTAGGTTTGATTACACTGACTTGGGCTGCTTACCATGTTATCGTTGGGGTTTTCCATGTTGTCCATGTGATCTTGGAGGAACTGACAAGCAGTCAGAAAATCTGCACCAACTGTCTCTCTAAAAGAAAGAGCATGTGTGTGTGAGCATAAGGAAAGAGGGAATAGACAGACATTTTGAGTCATAGTTTTAGGAACATATCCCCATGAGATTAAATAAAACCACAGGAGCTATTCCCTAAAGAGTAAACATCAGTGTTACATTTCCTAAACAAACCCTGATAAGGCGTTCATTCCGGCCCTCTCACCTGCCCCCGGTGGTGCTTTCTGAGCCAGAGCTCCCCTCCATCTGTTCTGCTGGGGGCTGTGGTTTCGTCTTGGCTGTTTTCTCAGCTTCCACAGACGCTACGCCTCCATCTGTCCACCCTGATCCTGCTCCTCCTGATATCATCTGTCCGTCTGGGCTTGTTTGCCTCGCTCCCTCCATCCGTCTCGTCTTTGGGTCTGCATCCACCTGGGCAGCAGCCATCTCCGTAGGGCTGATGCTGCTCTCCTTCTGTTCACTCTGGTCCTGCCCAACCAGATTTCCACTTTTGTGTCTTTAAAGAAATAAAGAACAGAGAACAGGGAGGAAAATTAAAACTGTCTGCCACTTGGGTGCTGGTAAATGTTGGCAACTTAATCTCCACTGATCAGAGGGTGAAGAGAAGTTCATATATTGTTTAAATGTCGTAAAAACGAAACTTTTAATTCAGTGCCAGTATTTACAGCATCAGGAATTAACATTAAAGTCAATCGACCATTTTTCCCCCTGTGATGTTTGAGTTGGCTTATTTAGGAGCAAGACAAAGATTTTTGGATGAGATTTTTAATTCATTATTCATATTCCAAGATAACTCAGTCAATGTTTGAGTCTAATCCTTTTAAAGCTGGAAATCAAAGGAAAAAGTCGAAACAAAGTAAATAAAATGCCCGTGTGACGTTTTCATAGTGTAAATCTCACTGTGTTCACTCGTAGAGGATGACAACCAAACAGATCACGTATATTGTGGTAAAACAAATCCAAAAACTACCCTGAGCCCCAGAGAACCATCCTGGAAACTGCCACAGTCACCCCTTCCATCTTTTCTGACTATAATAACTTAGAAAAAATAAATAAACTCTCTTTAGAGGCTCCTGGGAAACGGTAAATGTTCACTTTTCTCTTTTAACTGGCAACTTAAGAGGGAGTGGCATTCATCTTTCATTCTTAAATTATGATGTTTGTCTCAGTCAGAATGATACAAAAGTAGCTTAAGTAACCTCAAGTTAGTGTGTCTGTCAACCAAAACTATGGTTTGTGCAATAATCATAACTCTAAAGGTTGCTGAAGTCAGAAAGAGTTATTTACTAACCCTTCATTAACACCCACAGAATGTAGGCTTTTTGAAGTCCGGGTGCATCCGTCTGTCCTTGTGATGGATTTAGAGGCTACACAGAAGACAAACAGAGAGGATATGATGAAATATAAACACACAGCTGAACAACAACATTACATGCTCATTATGAAATACATTTTTATCATGGTTTACGGCTTATTATGGTGCTTTCAGACACAACCATTTATTTACAGAAGCCACTGAGAACACACATGTAGTCAAAATTGTCACAGTGATAAAGGGAGTAAATTAACGGGTAAATTGTGGGCCTGATTTTGACAGTGAAACATTGTGATGTAGCCTAAATAGTAACCAAATTAGACTTTTGTGCTGTGAGACAAATGTGTGGATTTTTATTTAGCAACACTTTGAAGACTTTAAGTGTTTCTTTGGTGAAATTAAATAGAGCTTGTGGTTTTTCATCAATAGCCGAAGTCCACACAAAAGCTTCCTCTTATTTCTGTGTTGCCAGTGGTGTAATGTAAATAAGTAACCCCGGTCGGAAGCAGTCACCCCAGACATCCCTCTCCCCAGCGACACTTTTCAGCTCCTCCTGGGGGAACCAGAGGCTTCCCAAGCCAAATGAGATATATATCCTTCCAGTGGGTTCTGGGTCTGTCTGGGCCTCCTACCAGTGAAACGTGTATGGAACACCTCTAACGGGAGGCGCCCAGGATGCTTCCTGATCAGATGCCCTAACAACCTCAAATGACCCCTTTGACATGAAGGAGCAGCGGCTCTACTCCGAGCTCCCTCCGGATGTCTGAGCTCCTTACCCTATCTCTTAGGCTGAGCCCATCCACCCCACAGAGGAAACTCATTTCAGCTGCTTGTATCCGTGACCTCATTCTTTCAGTCACTACCCAGAGCTCATGACCATAGGTGAGGGTTGGAACGTAGATGGACCAGTAAATTGAAAGCTTTGCCTTACAGCTCAGCTCCCTCTTCACCACGACGGTCCGGCGCAGCGCCTGCATCACTGCAGCTGCCACACCAAACTGCCGATCCACTTACTTATTTAAGAACAGTAACTATCACACTTTTACTCAAGTAATATTCTAATTTTCCTTACCATAAGCAAGTTTTTTTGTGCCTAACCACACATTAACCACAGCATTGTTGAAATCTAGGGAAACATACATTTTCAAAGTATCCACTACATAATAATGCACAAATGTAATGTAATGTATCTGTGGTTTGCAGAAACATAGAATGCCAAAACGTTTCTTGGCGATTGGTTTGGTTTTAGCTGAACTGTAAACTGAATATACTGTTTGCAACTGATGAAAATGAACATCATTAACTCTCGCAAAAGTTAACAACACTCACACACTGTGTTGCAGCACCCAAGGAGTTACAGCACCCTGCATGCATGTTGGGTTGAAGACTGATTCTCTGCCCATAAGTGTTTCCCCCTAACTAAATCTGAACCAAACATTTTTCTTTATTGCTATACGTCATTATACATACAATGCAAATTATTTCCATAAAGTTACAATATGTAACTGTAATATTTCACAATAAATTACATTGTTATTACCTTAAAGGCTACAACTATGATATTTAACCATATTTTGGATTTTATTGTGAAATTCATGCAGGTAAATACAGTAATTTTACAGGAGCATTGCTAAATCACAGTAATATGCAGGCATATGCAGGCATATTACTGTGAGATCACAGTATACAGCTGTCATTTCACATTAATTTACTGTAAAAGTGATACAGTAACCTACTGTGAAAGTGATGCAACAAGTAGCTGGTAATTTACTGTACATGTACAGTCAAATATTTAACAGTGTAGACTAAACTACACTACACAGAGCTCCACTGTTTCATCTCACACCAATGATGTTTAGATAACCCTATTCAACCCTATAGCTTTCCTTTCAAGGTTTTTATCGTTTGAAATGATAAAGTCTGTCATTACTATTTCATACCCATAATGTTTGCAGTCTAAGACTTGAATCACTTGTTTTTAGAGAGCAGTTTATTGAAAACACTTATCTCTTAGATTCAAAGCTGCTATTTCAGCTTTTCAGGATTTCACTTTTGAAAGGGGCATGCTTTGAAGCTGATAATAAAAGCAGTTCAAAACTCTTACAATCAGCCTTGATGGAAGCTAACTACTCATAATTGCCAATGAAATACAACCAGTCAACAAAAAGCCACTAAAACTGAATGTTTTTATCAGTCAGATGACAGGTAAATATCAAAGTTCACCCTCAAGGAATAAGAGTGAAGCGAAAATATGAAGTCTAACTGCAGTGGTTGTTCTGCCTTGTAGCAAACAGACTTCTTATTTCCTATATGTAAGTCCTTATCACAACATTAGGATTCAATCTCCTCTCATATTATGCAAGAGTACCACCTCTCAGAGTAGCCTGCAAGACACAATAGCCTATGTGAAGTACAAATTTGTTGTTATTTTCAAGTTTCAGTTAGTCGACATCCGTCCGTCTGTCCCATTCTCGTGAACATGAAGGAAATTCTTCAAATTTGGCACAAATGTCAACTTTGAGACATGGATGAAGTAATTAGAATTTGGTGGTCATAGGTCACCGTGTCCTTGCATCCATCTAGTTTCATCAAGGTGATATGTTAAGAAGGCATCAAGGGAATTTTACTCAAATTTGGCCCAACCGTCCACTTGGACTTATAAATGAACTGATTACAATTTGATGGTCGAAGTTTAAGGTCAAGGTCATTATTTACATTAGTGATTCAGCACCCAGTCGACAAGGTCAAAGGTCAAGGTCAAGCACGCAGTGAACTATTTTTAATCATTACATTGACATAAAGTACCATCTGTGGACTACAATACCTCCACATTGAATCCTTTCTCCATCACTGTGTCCCTGCTTGGTGTAGTAGGAGCTGAGGAAGTCAACAAGTCCCATCATCTCCTGCTGCAGGGAGTTGACTTTGGGGTCTGGGTGCTGTAGAGATTTACCCTCCTCTCCCGACTCCTGGTCTGCACACAAACACTCCCACTGCTCCTCCAGGAGCCTCTTGATCTTCTGTATGTGGTGGACGACCTCGGCTGTTTCATCTGAAAGTTCCAAAGACTCTACACGGTCTTCTTGTCGACTTCCTTGTCCGTTCATGGTGACAGTCCTTGCAACTGAACTTCTTGACACTTTATTATATGGTTCAATGGATCTCACCACCGTGTCATCTCTGTCCTGGTCTACCACCACTCTCTCTGCACGGACCCACACAGCAGGATTCTTAATAAGGTGCTCCATCTTCTCATCTTTCCTTCTGCTCTCCTCCTGCTGCTCCCTCAGCAGCCCTAAGGCCCTCTGCAGCTCCAGGCCAGTTTCATGGAGCTTCTGCTCCAGCACAGCTACCTTAGCCTGCAGGGACGTCACTGTCAGCAGCTCGTCCAGATCTGTACTAGTCCTCCACTCGTGTGTGGGATTAGAGTCATCTTGACTGATGTGGTGATTTCTGGGAAACATTATATGACTTTCATGCCGTGGCCTTTTAGTATCCACTGTGCTGTAGTGGGATGAGGTGCAAGGGTCTGTGGTTCCATTCATAGATGGGGGTGGAATACGTGGATTCAGGCCCAGGCGCAGCCTTTCTCTTTCCTCCTGGAGGATGCAGATATGCGCCCTTAGCTCTGGAATCACCCTCACCTCCATCTCCAGCTCCCCCACACGCTCAAGGGCCTCTGTCAGGCGCCTCAACAGCCCTGAGCAGTCCTGGGGTCTAGGGCTCTCTGAGGAGTCGAAGACGTCTTCACATGAAGCATTTCTCCCTCCAAGGTGATCCCTCGAGCTCCGGAGGCTCCCGGGTTCATCTGTGGACTCTGATCCCTGTCTCAGTAAAACTGTGAGCGGCAGACTGGAGGCTCGGAGAAGATGAGGTCTGATGTGCTCGCCAAGTGGTTGCTCATCAAACTCCTTGATTCTGGCCTCCATCTCTGCAAGGGATTTAAGCCCAGTGGGAGAAAGTTGCGACCTGTTATCATTTGCCCAGGAAGTGTAGCCATGGTGATGGGCGTCTGACAGTCGGGACCTGGGGCCAAGAGCTCCAGTAGATCCCCAGGCACTCGGGCGGTAGGCACACCCAGAAGGGTTGAGGTGCCTGGGTAGAGTGCTGGCTCTCAGGCCTTTGCTTCGGCGCTGGATGGGGACTCTTTTGATTGTGTTGCCTTTCTCGATGTCATCTACGTATTTTAGGAAGTCCAGGTCCAGTCGAAAGCCATAAGGAGTTTCCACTGAGTACGGGGGCTTCCCTTTAATTCCATTCTCTGTTGTTTTATGGGACAAGATACTTCCTGTAAACAAAAAAGTATTTTAGTATCCATCACAAATTAAGTAAAATTCTGTAATTTTAGGAAGTTTTCTTACCATTTTGTCTTTCCATCACTTTTTTGTCTTCAGCTGTCCAAACAAACTTGCTGCCACGTTATCTGGTGGGTCTTTTGGTATCTGACAAAACAAACAAAATAAAAAAATCAAATATGGAGACTGAATTTAGCCAGCGACACATGAGAAACACATGTTAGGGAATTTTTACAAGTGGCAGAAGCGGTTATAGTGTGGTTATCTAATAAAATAATGAACACATTCATGATTTGTGAGGGGGAAAACAGATGAATTTTGGCACTGATGTACACTCGAGGTTCAGCTGTGGTATTTTTGGTGGGAGACTCCATCTTAATTTAATGACCAGATGGAAGAGCACACTGAGCAGCAATAACCCTTTTTTGTACTCCGTTCACAATCTGCCTCTTATTCATTCTCCCACATGTAGCGCAGTGCACAAAACACAAACATTCAATTACGCTCAAGTGCCTTCTCTCTCTTCCTCCCTCTTGTTCCCTTCTTTTCCCAAAGACTTCTGTTTTTCTCACACTCTCACTGCTTCATTTCTTCCATGCATCAGGCTGCTATTACAGTGGCAGGCCTGATGTTCACTTGATTACAGCCCTGCCATCCAGGACGAGAGCTGAAAATAGCTTGGGACTGTTTAGCCCAGCAGCTATGGCCAGCAGAGCAAAAATATACTCCTACAGACATAAATACAGATGACCATTGTTGTGAGTCACTACTTTCCTCCCTTCCTGCTCTCTCTGTGCCTCCTACTACAGTCTTCTGTCAGATCCTTTGTTTACTTTACTGAACTGTCACTGACTGTAACTTTTACCGTACTAGCTCCCCTGCCCTCTGGTTCTGCTGACTCTCATTTCTTAACTTTATACAGTGTATATGATAGAGAATAATCGATACTCTTTGTAGTCATTGCTTCCCTTCACTCAGTGTCTCTCCCTTCCATCCTCACCTCTTCCCTCCTCCCATGTTCCCCTCCCCTCTCCTGACCACCAGCCTCTGTGGCAGCTCGCTGTCCTCTCGAGGCACCGCAGCCACCGAGCCGCAGCCCCAAACAATGTCAGCTATGCAGTAAACAGACAAACACCACCAAATGGCCCTGCTGGGAATTTTGACCTCCGTCATTCACACACTATCCGATGTCGAGCGATAAACAGCAACAAATCTGCAATGAACAGATATGGACGGGCACGTTTTCTTCAATTAAGACGATAATACAGCATTGATTACATTTACACTTGACATGTTGCAAATGTACATGCATGCATGCAGGTCCCCTAGGCAAGCTATGCATTCCATGTCTGTTACAGTATGTTGGCACTTCTAGTTTCCAGCTGGGTGGAGTTTAACATATAGGATGTGCAAATATTATCTGAGAATTAGGCTAGGAGTCCATGCTACCACAGGGCTCTGTATAGTTTGACAGTTTCTGATACTATTTCTCTTATGATCCCTGAGTTTTGGAACTGATCTAAGATGATACTTCTCTGATACCTTACAAATAAAATAAAAGCCACTTTTCAAGCAAACACAAAAGGTTCTGACCAAAGAATAAAGTAAAGAAGAAAGTGAATGTGAGTAACATCTGAGGCCAGATTTTGGTACTCTGCAGTTTTCCTTCAGGCCAGCCATGGGAATTATGAACAGGTGGACAAAGTCCCAACAGCAACATGGGCAACTTTCAAATAATCTCTAGGCCAAAATACCACATTAAGACATTGTGGAACACCATAGAAAAATCCATGTTGTAATTTGGTATCAAAAACTTGACTTTTAGAGTTTCCTTTTTGGCCATTGGATGTCCCGCACTTCTGTTCTGGAATTTGCTGGGAAGTCTCCTAATTGTCAATACACCTGTGAATGCAGTACATCCTCTGAATGCCCGAAGTCTCTAGTTTGTGGTTTTAAAGTTTCTTGAGGCTGCGATCATCCTAGAAGTCACTAGTCCATTTTCAACCACTCGTCCGAAGCCAGGTGGGCTGACCAAAGACATCCCAATCCCCTGTAATACTTTCCAGCTCTTCCTGGGGGACCTCGACGCGTTCCCAGGCTAGACGAGATACATAAGGCCTCTACCATGTTCTGGGTCTATCCTGGGTCCTCCTACCAGTTGGACATGCTAAATACCTCTAACTGGAGGTGCCCAGGAGAAATCCTGATCAGATGCTTGAACCACCTCAACTGACCCCTTTGAACGCGAAGGAGCAGTGGCTCTATTCCCTCCACATGTCCGAGCTCCTTACCCTATCTCTAAAGCTGAGCCCAGCCACCTTTCTAAGGAGACTCATTTCAGCAGCTTCTATCCGCAACCTCATTCTTTCGGTCACTACCCAGAGGTCATGACCACAGGTGAGGGTTGGGACGTAGATGGACCAGTAAATCAAAAGCTTTGCCTTCCGGCTCAGCTCCCTCTTCACCACGACAGCTTGGCACAGCGCCCACATCACTGCAGATGCCACACCAAACCACAGAGCCATATCACGGTGCATTCTACCCTCACTCATGAACAAGACCCATTTTTGCAGTCATATCCAATTCATCAAATTCCAAGACTGTTTTGGGACCCCGGTATGTAGAAATATTCAAATGTGCCATTTTGGAAAAATGACAGTGCCACATTTCCTTCGCCAAAACTTTGCCTAACTTTGGAGCATTATTTACCCCCTTTCCAACAAGATGCTATAACCTGGTACCAGTGGAAGTCTTTGGTCGTCTAGTTTCATATGATACCAGTATCTTTATTCTAGCTTTAAAACTTTGCTAGTCTTGCATGTGCCCCATCCAGCTTTGCCTGTCATACATGGTGTTTCTTCATGTTTTTCTGTCCAGAAATTTGGCTATTGATGCCCAAGTAGCTCACCTGGTAGCGGCCCAGGTTCAATTCCATCTCGTGGCCCATTGCTGTGTCTCCTTGATCTGGGAAAGTACTTATCATAGCAGAGTTCCTTCTCACTGTATGTTCTGTTCTGTTGCCCTTCCAGAGACCTAACACATGTGTTGAAACTGATACAGTCTGTATGTTGTTATGCCAGCAGGGTTTTATGATGTTGAGTAGGATCTTTCAGCACTGGATCTTATGAGTCTAAGTTTAGCCTTCACACGTGTATGTAACACTAAAGTACATGTCATGAGAGGAGATCCAGACATGTGTCTTCATTTTACAGAAGATACAGAAGATTACTGAAGATCGTTCATTGTCCTCCAGGTAGACAAACAATCTGGGAGGACAACAAGATAAATGATTTTGTCAAGAGGTAGCCAGGCATTAAGACGAACAAAGGAGCTTAATGTTGTCTACAAGCAGAGGCTGCATTCACCATTGACTCTGTCAATCAGCAGTGTAGAGCGGAGCACCTGTTACTGCTGACATCTCAATCAGTCTCACTGCTGGCTCAGTCATCAAGTTGAGAACGCAGGCTGCTGGCTGCAGTTCAACAGAATGGAAACACTTTCAGGGCTTTGAGATAGAAGATGAAGAGTTTCATCTCAAGATTGGATGTCTGCCGTGTAAAAAGCACTTCTACAAAATGAGTGATTGCACATTTTGTAAAATACACGTATTCTTTTTCTTGCTGAGAGTTAGATGAGATGACTGTTACCACTCTTATTGTGAGGATGGCAAATATGAAGCTACAGCTGAGAGAAAGTTAGCTTAGCACAAAGACTGGTAGCAGGGGGAAACAGCTTTTGTTGGTTGGACTGGTTAGTTTTAGGCAAGAGGAGTGAAACTGGTTAGGGTCAAAAAAA